TAGAACTTAAATTACGCCAAATCATGTGTAGTTTAGTTTATATCACATCTTAGAACTTACCGTACACCAAATCATGTGTAGTTTAGTTTATATCACATCTTAGAACTTACCGTACACCAAATCATGTGTAGTTTAGTTTATATCACATCTTAGAACTTACCGTATACCAAATCATGTGTAGTGTAGTTTATATCACATATCAGTACTCACATTACACCAATCTATCTGCACTGATGTTCTATCAGATCTTAGTGATTATATTACACCAAATCCTGTGTAAATGTAGTTTATATTACATCGTAGTAGTCACATTACACCAAGTTATCTGCACTGTAGTTCTAGCACATCTTAGTACTTATATTACACGAAGTCATATGCACTCTAGTTATTTCACACCTTAGTACTTGTATTACACCCATTCATGTAAACTATACTTATTTCACACCCTAGTACTTATATTACACCAACTCCTGTGTAAATGTAGTTTATATTACATCGTAGTAGTCACATTACACCAAGTTATCTGTACTGTAGTTCTAGCACATCTTAGTACTTATATTACACCAAATCCTGTGTAAATGTAGTTTATATTACATCTTAGTAGTCACATTACACAAAGTTATCTGCACTGTAGTTCTAGCACACCTTAGTACTTATATTACACCAACTCCTGTGTAAATGTAGTTTACATTACATCTTAGTAGTCACATTACACCAAGTTATCTGCACTGTAGTTCTATTACATCTTAGTGCTTATATTACACCAAATCATATGCACTCTAGTTATTTCACACCTTAGTACTTGTATTACACCCATTCATGTAAACTATACTTATTTCACACCCTAGTACTTGTATTACACCCATTCATGTAAACTATACTTATTTCACACCCTAGTACTTGTATTACACCCATTCATGTAAACTATACTTATTTCACACCTTAGTACTTGGTAATGCTTGTCTGTATATCTGTTCTGAATAATGCTTGTTATTCCCGAGGAACTTCTTTGGTTAATTGAAACAATTACCGTAGCATATGTTAAATTATAGACCATTAATAGCAGTCAAAACCAAGATTAGTTTACACGCCTGTATTGTTACTGAGGTTTAGTTTTATGAGTTTTTGTGTAGTTACATAGGTTTAATTTCAAGAGTGTTTGTGTTGTTACTGAGGTTTAGTTTTAAAAGTTGTTGAGTAGTTACTGAGGTTTAGTTTCAGGAGTTGTTGTTTTGCTATTGAGGTTT